TAAGTTGTGTTGGTTTGTTCATTTATTGTTTTTGGAAATTACTTTGATTAATTGTTTTGTTTTTTGCTTAAATTCTTTTATTGGTACATTTTAGGTATATAATATGTTTACATTTATCATTGGTTGCTTGTACCTGTACATGATGTATCTTGGTTCTTATTTTTTCCCCTTTCCCTGCCCTCTACCCCCTCCACCCTTCCCTATTTATAAAGACTTTGTTTCCATTTTTTCTTTTTCTTATAATTTTCCCTTTCCCTTCTTTCCTTTCCCCTTCCCCTCCCACTTTCCCTACCCCTTTGGGCCTTTTCTTCCTATTTCAAATTATCAATTATTCGTCTTAATCATTTTAATCCTTATTTACACTTTGAGTTTCTCACACCAGAGAAACTATTTGGTATTTACACATGTGTGTCCTATTTATTTCACTTAAGAGTATGGCCTCAATATGCATCCATTTAGCAATAAATGTCTCTAGTTTCTCATTTGATTCGTTTTTTAATCATGGATGAGCATAGAGGAACTTAAGACACTCCCACTTGTTCACCTGTCTGTGCAATGCTACACCAAGGTTGTATGCAGAAATAATGTCTAATTCCAGAATTTATGAGATAGCTCCACTCTCAGGAGACTACACTTGTACAAGATTCTCTGGCTTTGGTACTCATGAACCTCACCTAGAATGCTTTTTTTAAATGCAGAAATTTGGGCCCCAGAGAAAAGCCATTCAGGGGTCCTTGGGCCTTGGAGTTTGATTTTAATATCCCTCAATGATCCTGAAATAGATGGTCCTTGGAAGCTCTTTGAAAAGCTATGGCCTAGTAGTATGAGAGAGAAGACTATAGACAAAATGTAACTGCAGAAACAGAGTGGCCATACCAAAGGCCATTGGAGCAATCTATCCAAAGTGCTGTGGTTCAGGGCTGAGAGAGCTCATTTTCAGTCACCATGACCAGAAGGCAGTTGAGTTAATGAAGGAAAAAATGGGTGAGATCTTGGTAGTTTGAAGAGTAAGGAATTTCAGGTTAGGGAGTTAGGATGAACTGAAACACGGAGGCAAAGGAGAGGAGTGTGTGTCTTCAGGGAATTAGCTCACGTCACTCCCAATAAAATCCCTTTCTGTGGCACCCCAGGGCTCTGACCTTAAAGTCCAGGCTCCTTAGCATGTTTTCCATAGCTAATTAGTATCTAGTCCCAGACAGAATCTCTACTTTCCTACCCCCAGTTTACTCCTCCTTGGGCCACAGAGAGGCCTTGATCCCCAGCATGCACATTATCCTTCCCTTCTTCCCTGGGACTATAATCTAGCCATCTGGAACCAGTCGCCACACCCCTTTCTTTATAGCTTTGTGCACAGCCCTACCTCTACTCAGAACACCCACTCTTTTCTAGTCCTCATTTTGCTTTGCTAGAATTTTAGTCCTCAGGGTCCATTTTAGATTCACAGCCCCCAGAGCAGTTCGTATATAGTCTCTAGGGAGTCTCACGCAAATGTACATTCTGGATCAGTAGATCTAGAGAAGGGTCTGAGAGTCTGCCTTTCTAAGTATGTGACTTTGAGTGGGTGCTGCTGGTTCAAGGATGACCTGTTGAGTGTAAAGAACTGGAACGGCACTTCCCTGCTTGAACACACATCAGAAGTATCTGGAGAGCTCAACAAATAATCAGTATCTGGACCCCCCCCCCAAAAAATACTGATTTAATTGTTAGTTCCAAGGTGTAGTACCTTGAGATTTCAGAGCTTGTCTGGAGATACTCATGTTTCAGTTGAGCAACTGAATTCGAAATTCTTCCTTAACTTCCCGAGAGTGGGTTATGATGGGTAACACAAGGTGTATCATCATGCACTGATTTACAGATCCATATTTACCTGTTACCCTCCCTAGACTCTTAGCTACCCAAGATCAGGGGTTATGTCTCCCTGACTGTCGAGCCAACTGATTACTCCTTTGGAAGAAGAGCCAGCTATAGGAGAGAAATATGTTGCTTAGCATATGTATCTGTAGCCAGGCAAATGAATTGACTGGATACTGCAGGAGAGGGGACTTGGAGCTCATGAGTAGGTTTGGTAAATGGAAAGTAATTGTACAGTTACAAATATTACTTCTGTCCAAAATATAAGATGCCGGGCCAGGGATTTAGCTCAGTGGTTTTGCTGCCTGCTGCACAAGCGCAAAGACCCGAGTTCAATCCCCAGTACCAAAAAAATAAAAAGAAATCCAAAATATAAGATGTCCTTGATGGTCTCCTTATAAATGGTTCTGCCTTTTAATACTCTCTTTTATAAGGGCTTTCTCAGCTTCACTCACTACTTTAAACCCACTACTTTTAAGTCCCTCGACTGAAATCTCTCCAACAGTGGGCATTTGAAGCTCTTCTCATATTAAGGAAGAGGTTACTATAATTGAATTATGATACTGTACTTGAAAAATTAATAGTAAGGAGCTTAAAAATATAACAGTAAATAAGAGAGAGGAGTCCAATAGATGATATGAGAGTCCCAGGAGAAAATTAAGTAGCAGTCATGCAGAAAGGAGACTGGGCTGCTTTGGGATGGCAGAGTGAGTGATCTCAGGATTCTGCCCATCCTGCTGTCTTAGTGGTGGATGAATTAGAATAAATTATCACCTTTGCTTGAAACCCTGCTGAGCTCTTTCTCCTACACCTTAAGCAGGGTATTATGTTCTGAGACAAAATGTAACTGCAGAAATAGAGCAGCCACTCCAAGGGCCATTGGAGTGGCCCATACAAAGTGCTGAGGTTCAAGCAAACTCTTCATTTTAATTTTGTATGCCAGAGTTTCTTTTTCGCATGGATATATATTTCATGTGTTTGTAGAGACAGAGTGGTTTAAAATCTATTTGTAGGGCCGGGGATTTAGCTCAGTGGTTCCTCCGCCTGGTTCGCAAGCACAAGGTCCTGAGTTCGATCCCCGGTACCAAAAAAAAAATCTATTTGTAATCCTCTTAGTCATTGTCCAAGAGTTTTTTTGATATGTAAAGCTCTCAGTTCTCTTTATTGTTTCTTTAGCAGTTAGGACTGCCTGATTCTATTTTATGTTAAAATTATACTTCCAAGGGAACGTTTTGAGTTAAAATAGACATTTATGTAAATGTACTGAAATTCATTTCTCTCCTACCCTTTTCTGTCTGTGGCCTTGTAAGAATAAGAATGGAAACAAAAATGATACTGAAAGGGGAAAATCTTGATGAGTAAATACCAAATGTCCCATTTCATATTAAAGCCCCCCACCCCCCGGTACATTTTACCATCCCTGTAAGTACCCAATTAAAAATCTAAAGTAGTGTTTATATTCCTAATTCCTTGCATGGGGATTTTGCACCTATAGGTGTGTGAAGTTGTGTTTGGCAGCTGGATCTCTAACCTTCCTTTGGCTACTACTGTACTCCCAACGGAAAGGGTTTTCACCCTGGCTTGCATTCAGCATTTGCTTTTCTGCAAGGTGCCAAAGGCTCGGAACAAGTTCATAAGTCACTTTAGAAGGGTTTGAAATGCTAATTCACAGCTGTTGACAGGTATGAATACCCATCAGCCTGGAATGTCACACCTATTCAAAGTAATTGAGCATCCTTGAATATAATCTCCTTTAAAACCAGAAATGTGAAACCTGGTCCCTTCAAGGTAAGAAAGAGAAAACTTCCTTGAGATTCCCGTACCAACTTTGTCTCAAGAAATAAATAAGCAAATAGCCACAGACAGCTGTTCCTTTGTTTCTATATAGTTTTAAGTGTAACTTTAGGCGCAGAAGTCAATGTGTGTATGCTTTCTGTGTATGTGTATATGTAAGAGATACCGCAAGTACCTCTTATATTAATATAATTGTAATTTATATGTATTTATCAAAATTCTTGAATCAGAAATTTGGGTCATTTACTAATATATTGTCTTTTTACAGAAAGTTTATTGAAATGGCTATTAACATTGTAGATATATCTTCCCAGGGTTTTTTTTTCCTACATGTACATATGCTTTATGTAAATTGTCTTTTCCTTTTTTTTATCCATTTTGGGATCCCATCTTACATACCATGGAGCTTGCTGCTGCTGGTGCTCCTCCTGTTTAATAAAGAGAATTTTTTTTTTTTTGGTACTGGGGATTGAAGTCAGTACCTTGCGCTTCCAAGGCAGGCGGCGGAACCACTGAGCTAAATCCCCAGCCCTTCCTGTTTATTTAATTATTTAGCAGTACAGAGGCTTCACACTGATCTACATCCCCGGCTCTTTTTAAAAATTTTGAAACAGGGCCTTGCTGAGTTGCCCAGGCTCGTCTTGAACTCATAATCCTGTGCAGCCTCTGAGAGTACTGAAACTACAAGGGTATGGTACCAGGCCCAGCTGGGACTTACCTGAGAATTATCTGTATCTTTGCATATTTTCCAACAAAATGACTGTAACTTTTAATTTTTAAAAATGTGTTTATATATCTACATGACCTCCTACTTGAAGCAAGAGTAAACTTTTTTAGCATTCATTATGGTATATTATAATTTGAGAATAGAGTATCATGGAAAACTGGGACTCATGATTGTTGGCAAAGAAATATCCCTCTTTAGGAAGTACGGTCAGCCCTCTATACCCATGGGTTCCACATGTGCAGATTCAACCAACTAAAATACTCCAAAAACAAATTACACCTGTACAGAACATATACACATTCTTCTTCCTTGTCATTATTCTCTAAAAAATACAGTGTAACTATTTATGTAGATGGACCATAATATTAGATATTATATAGTAATCTAGCAATGAACTAAAGTATATGGAAGGACAGAGGGGTATAACTTGGGCCCTGAGTTCAATTCATTGCACCACTAAAATAAAGTACATGGGAAGATGTGTATAGGTTATAGGAAAATACTCTGCATATGTAAGGGTCTTGAGTATACATGGATTTCAGTATCCTGGTTGGGGGAGGGAACCAGCCCCTTGTGAATACTGAGGGAGGACTATGTTGTATCTCATTTTTATCTTGTATCCCTTTAGGTGTGGCAGCCAAAGCTTTTAAAGACATGATGCATTTTTCCAAAGGTAACCAAAAGCTATCATCACTTCCCTTGGCAAATATGTCTTGGGTGCTCAGTGCTACACTGGGTGAGGATACAGCAGTGGTCTTTGCCCTCAGGGAGCTTATATTGTGCTGTGGGAGGGAGGAGAGACAGTATACACACACACACACAATCATTACCAATCTAGACAGCTAAGAGACCCTGTATATCTTCTGAAAAAATAAATGCAGTTCTGCATTACTCATTTTATCAGCATTATTAAGATCATCACTAGAGAGTGGTTTGGATAACATAAGAGCATTTAAGTAATTATGACAGATGAATGAAACACAATACCATTAGCTCCTTTTGAATGCATTATAAGATAGTTTTCAGTTACTCGTAAACTCAGGATAAGTGAAACGCCATGGGAGATCCAGATTTCCAGAAGAAGAAAGCCACTATTTTCAGTGCTTCCTTTTATAAATGAACCCAATCTTCCTTCCTTGGTGGATGATGTTGGCTAAGCTAACCAAGGCAGCACATTGATTTGCTGATCTGTAAACTCTGTCCTCATTGTTCATTGGTGTTTGGGGTGAGGGGAATAGGATGAGCTCCCTACCTCTTAGCTGCTCGTCCCCTTCCAACTCAGCCCTCATTCCCCCTTTGCCCCGTTCCCATTATGGAGCAGAAAAGGCTGCTTAAGGCCTGGTTTATTTACCTAATAAACTGGCTCTTGTACTGCCTGGGAAATGCTAAAATTTTTTAGCCAAGAAATCCTAGTAACAAGCAAACAGAGGTCCAGCAGTCAGGTCTGAAGAAACAACAAGATGAAGGTCAGCTAATATCACCATTATTCTCCTTCCTGGTGGCCATGACAGCATTTGGGGTTTATTTGAAGATCCCAGACTTCGAATCATTGCTTGCATTGTTAACTGCCTAAGTATTTTAGGCTGTGCCAACAGTTTCAGATATTAATGTATTCTAGAGATCAGTGAATGAAGAATTCCTCTGCACTTTTTTCCTTTTTAATTTTTTTTTTCCTTTCCATACACTTTGTTTGCAATGTCTTTGTCTGCCAGACGTTGCTGGGCATTTCTAATGAGAAAGCAAAGAATTGTAGAAGGAAAAAGGCAAAGAGGGAGAACAGGCGAGGAAAAACGGCGTGTTTAGCACTTTAACAGTAAGGTGACATTTTTATAAGCTAGTCAGGTGCACAAGACTCATTGGGGAAAGCAGCATTGGTGATGCAAATTCAGAGCGCAAAGCAGAAAGCGCATTTTGGGGAATGTCTAACTCATTGATTAGCTGCTCACCACAGAAACACACTGTTATTTCTGAACATCATTTTCCCCACAGGACACCCGGCCTCGGTGCTGCTTTGGTATTCATTCCAGCTTCATTATTGCAGCCACCTCACAACCCACCCTGGGCAGCTGCTAAAAGGGGAAAAAATTAAAGCAATTCATACTCCTGGTGACTTACTGCTGCAGAATAATTGGTTTCTGTTTGCAAAGAACATTATTACAGCAAAGCTCAGAAAACAGAAAGCCTGTCTGAGAGAGGGTTTCTGGGGCTAGAGTGGAAGACGGCTGCAGGGGGAGGGCAGAGGGATGTGAAAAATCACATTTCCAAAAAGGCAATTAGCTAATAATTAAATTTTTAATATCGTTCCTTACTAGGATTTGTCCTTATGTGATATATGCCCGGGTGCTGGGTTCTTAGCATACCCTTTGATACCTCTGAGAAATGTTAATGAGACTAAACCAGTTAAAGAGCTCTTTAGACAGCACAGAGCTTTGGGGAAGGCCAGAATGAAATGCAGACCCTCTGAGGGCTTCTCTGACACACAAGAAGTCCCTTTGTTTCCTGTTTTATAAACCAGAGGCATGTCTAAAATTGCAGGGAAAGTGAGAGGGGGCTGAAGAGTTGGCGCCGGGGGCCTGGCTTTCTATATTTAAAAAGAGGAAAAATTGTTCGCTAGTTATTTGTGCCCGGATTTGATAGGCAGTCTAGGGTGTTTTTGAAGTTCTGAAGGAAGGTTCTCTGAAGATGTAAGCGGGATCTGTCTTTCACTTAGACTTAATTAAGAAACTTGCTGGCTTTGTCTGTAGGGGGCCCATTACGCGAAAGCTGCAGCCCCCTCTGAATAGGGGCTCAGCCTGGAAAGTGTATACAAGCCAGACCGCCTTTGTGTCGTGTTGCCAAACTGGAGGCAGGAGCAAGTGTGAGCGCGGCTCTGCCAGAGGCCAGCCCTTGTTGTTCATACATGTGCACCAGCGTCCCAAACAGAGCACTGCAGCCTGTGCACGGACAGTCCCGAGGGACCTAGAACTAATGAGCCTTTCAGAAAATGAAGATCGTAAACAAAAAACAGGGCGGGGGCAGAAGAGAGTCTATTCTCCAGCCCTAGTGCTGGGACACAAGACTAACACTGGAGGTAAACAAATGTCCCAAACTCATGTTTTGTATGTAAACCAGAAGTGGCCAAAGCCTGGCTCTAGGCACAGCCTTACCTTCAACTTGGTCCCATCCGGCTTTGGGCGCAATTTTGCAGTCATCGCTATTCTTGTAACCCTGAGAATAATTTCTCCCTGGTGGGCTACTGTGACCTACCCTATTTAGAACAAAGTTGCTGAATGCTGAAGAATAAAAAACAGTTGGAAGGCTGTGAGCAGTGGTTAATCAGCTAATTCGCATTTCAAAAGGCACTAATAAGAGGTGATAAATTCAAATAAAGCCCTGGGTATGAGTACTTTACTCATTCTGGAAAGCTTACAGAGGGGTTTTCCCTCTGTTTCTCTCTCCCTGCCCATCTCTCCCTTTCCCTTTGAAGCTGGTGGGACCTCCCAGGGTATCTGCACCTCTGTCCTACGCCCCCCTCTGGCCAGGGTCCCACAAGCCTTTGCCTTCCTGTTGTCTGTGACCAGCTGTAACTGTCCCTCCAGATCTGCTGTCCAGTAAACCAACCGTGGCTGTTGTTTGTCTGGTCCCTCTGAGGCCTCTGACTCCCCTTCATCATATTAGTTTACAGAATTCAATCTCTTCCCTCCCAAAGAAATGATAGCCACCTCATTGTCATATCTGTGTTAGTCCTTCTGATCTGTGATGATCTGGCAGCCCTTGGCCATCTCTGTCCTGGTTGCTATTTGCTTGACTGATGGAATCTTACGCCTTCTGTGGCATTAAGTGCTCTGCCTTGTGAGTTCCAGTCAGAGCCCAACCTTGTGACTGTCTTGTTGGTCTCCTAAATGAGACTCCAAATGGCTCTGTGTCTTCCCCTCAACAACCTGCAGCTCTTCTGCCCCAGCATACACAGACAGGGCTGCTGCTATTCAGATGAGTTTGCATGGGCTTCCTTCTGGGCTTTCCAGGAAGTTCCTCACAATTGAGTCTTTCTGTGCTTATAGGCTAATAGCCCTGTCCTGGACCCTGTGTCGCTCACCCACTGGCTGGAAAATCAGCCAGCCAAGTGACACTGTAGAAATAAGAGATGTGGTGCTAAAGATTAAGTGATTTAGTTTGAGCCAGGAGTTCAGCTCAAATATTAAAAAATTAGTTTTTCTGAACTCTGTCTTCTCCCAGACCTTGGCAAAATGAAGAATATTGTTGACATCATTAGAGCATGCCTGTAAAAAGAAGAAAAAATAATTTCCTGGATTATCTTGATTCAGATAACAGAAGCAGCATCACTGTGTTTGGCACCTCTGATTGCCTTTGTTTTCTTATGTTCATAAGATGTACATGGAATCTATCCTTTGAGGCAAGGGGTCCCTGATTTTCTAAATCCTAGAATATCTTAGGCCCATCATGCCTTGAACATGTCGCACGGTGCACAGCTATATGGTTTCCCTTGGAATAAGAAGTCTGTTGGGGATTCAGCCACTATCATAATTACTTACTCTGAAGGAGTGACATTTTATATTCTGGCCATAAGTGATGTGGAATTTCCCCAAACTTAAGCCTTGACAATTTGATGACAGTTGGGAATATCCTTACAAGCCCTAAGATGGTCATTGAACCTGAATGGTATAAGTAGGAGCTGACCAACTTCAGTTTCACCCATGATTAAGGCTTTTTGCTAGCACACCGTCTGGTTATTAGGAGCATCTATATTGAATATTATTCAGATCCTGAGTTACTCTTGAAGGATTCCTAGTTTCAGAGGGACTGTGGACCCTTTTCTGTGTTGGGCATGAGCACTGAGTCCAAGTCCAAGACCAGCAGTGCATTTTCCTCGGGACACAGGACTGTCCACACAGCTGTCAGCCAGCTGAACAATTCCTAGGGTAATAACTCCATAGCAGAATCCAGCTCTGTGTCAAGAAAAGCTCTTACTTATGTAAGCAGCATGAACCATCTCTGGACACTTACTTAAGTCCAGAAGCAGTTAGTAAAAGTATATTGATTTTTTTTTTTGATGTTTTGAGAAAGGGTCTTACTTCATAGTGCTGGCTGGACTTGAACTGACTATGTAGCTCAGGCTGGCCTTGATTTTTTTTTTTGGGGGGGGGTACCGGGGATCGAACTTGGGACCTTGCGCTTGTGAGGCAGGCGGTAGAACCACTGAGCTAAATCCCCAGCCCGGCTGGCCTTGAACTCCTCCTGCCTCAGCCTCTGGAGTGCTAGGGTTACAGGTGTGTGCCACCACACCCGGCTTATAAAAGGTTATTGAATAGGTTTTTTAAAAATAAAGCATTGAGGGCTGGGGATTTAGCCCAGTGGTTCCGCCACCTGCCTCTAAAGTGCAAGGATCCAAGTTTGATCCTTGGTACCAAAAAAAAAAAATTGTGAAGGCTGGATGATCAGGCTAGAAAGAGGGGAAGAACCAAAGGTAGCTGGAATCATCACAACCCTACCACAGTTCCTCTAGGGAGAATCTCATTGCTACAACTGCTAGATACCCCACTACCCACCTGTTTAGCATGGCTAGTGCTGAATATCAGCGGCCATACCTGCCACTATGGATGTCCCTGAAGAACTAATTCTGTTGCCAGAATTCAGCAAAATGAATTCTCTTACTTCTAAGCATCACATGCTGTA